ATCGTTCGGTGCAAATAACAGCCAATAGGAAAACAGAACAGTCAGTCAGCACAACACCCCAACTTATATTTTCCTGTTTCGATGTTATTCTCCTTCACATTGTTCATGAGGAAGATGATGCCAAATATTTGTGGTAGGTGTCTTTATTGCGCGTCATATCTCCCATTGCTCTAAATAGTGCAGAGACCAACACCCCAAGACCCTCTGGGCACCATAGGCCTCCATTGCCTAACAAGTGCGGCGCTGTAGGGGCCGGGGCAACAGCGCAACGGCCCCTTCAGGACGTGGCTTCCCCAAGGGCTGGCAGGGGTGCGGCGCTCCCAGGCAGGGGCCCCTCTCCAGGGGCAACAGCGTGCAGGTGTCCCTGTCAGGGGCTGTGGTATCCTCCAGACTCATCCAGAGGGTCTGGTGCAGGTCCTCCTGGGCGCGGCGCCCGTGGGGAATTCCCTCCAAGGGCGCTTGGGGCCCTGGGCTCTCTGCTGGGGTGGGCTCTCTCCTGGACTGACCCTCTCCAGGGGCAGCGACGCCCCAAGGGCCCCTGACATGGGCTGTGACGTCTCAAGGGGCCTAATGGGCAGTGGCGCCCAGGAGTCTTCCAAGGCGTGGGCGCTCCCAAGGACCTCCCAGATGCTGAGGCAGTACTAGGGGCCTCAAAGGGTGGCAGCGTCTTTGGGGCCCTACGGGAGGCAGGTCCTCCTGGGGGTGGCAATCCCAGGGACCCTACAGGGGCAGTGGCCCCAGGGCCATCCACAGTGGGGCATTGTCATCCATTGGCCGGCTTGAACCTACAGGACCCTCCCAGGGTGGTGGTGGCCCCACCCAGGCACCAGGGGCGACAGCCACCCGAGGCCTTACCAGGGACAACAACACCTGGGCCCTCTCTATGGTGTGCGTCCCAAAGCCTCCAGGCCGGTGCCTCTGGAAGCCTCCCAAGCAATCGCCTTCAGGGCTGTGTGCGCTAGAAGCACACAGGCGACATCATGCAAGGGCACTGGAAGGTGGAACCCCTATAGGCCACAGAGGCTGTGTGGCCTCCCAGGAGCCTCTTCCAGGCTGTGGCCCCTGAGTCTCTCTCAGGAGCAGCGGCGCCGCAGACCTCCCAAAAGCAGCGGATCCTTAGGGGCCTACCGTGGCTGTGGCTTCCAGGACCTCTTCTAGAGCTGTGGAGTCCCCCGTGCCCTCCAAGGGCAGCAGCGCCCCTCAGGGCCTCCACGGTGGTGGGGCTCCCAGGGGAACCCCTCCAGGCGTGGCGTTCCTGGGGCCCTATTGAGGCGGCCTCACCAGGATCCTTTGCTTCATGGTTGTGGTGTGGCGCATTAGCGTCTGAACAACAATCCTACTTAACACGTTGGTGTGGACTAAATGTAAATCCACCAAATAACAATAATGGAGAACAGAGCAGTCAGTCAGCATAACACCCCAACTTATGTTTTTCTGTTCGTCTTTATTCTCCTTCACATTGTTCATGAGGGAAGATGATACTGGAAATGTTAGCAGGCGGTGTATTTATTTAACGTCATATCTCCATTGTTCTCGTGGTGCAGACAGCTGCCCCAGAGACCCCTCACAGGTCAGCGTTCCCTAGAGCCTCCCATTTTGCCCCTAACAGGTCTTGGCCGCTTCATGAGGAGCATTCCAGAGACAACAGAGCATGGCAGCCCTTCCGCAGTGTGGCTTAAGGAGCCCAACTTGGTTGCCGGCGCTCACAGGCCCTCTCAGGGCAACAGCATACAGGGGTCCCTGTCAGGGGCCTTGGTATCCTCAGGGCCTCTTCAGGGCTCTGGTGTCTCTAGGAGCCCTCCTATGGGCAGCAGCGCTCCTGGGACATTCCAAGAGCAGCAAGGTGGATGGGGCTCTCCTTGGGGTGGATATGCTCCTGCAAACTCTCAGGGGCAGTGACGCCCCAAGGGACCCATGATGACATGGGCTGTGACGTCCCAAGCAGCCTGTGAGGGCAATAGCGCCCAGGGTCCTTCAGGGGATGGGCGCTCCCAAGGGACCTCCCAGGTCACTGAGGTGGTGGGCCCTCAAAGGGTGGCGGCGTCTGGGGGCCCTACCACAGGGGCCTTGGGTTCTCGCCAAGGAGTGGGGCGATCCCAGGACCCTGCCAGGGGCAGTGGCGCCCCAGTGTCCCACCATTGGCCGGCAGACCTGAGACCCTCCCGGGGTGGTGGTGGCCCCACAGACCTTCCAGGGCGGCTGGCGCACCCGAGCCTTACCAGGGACAGCACCCCATGGGCCCTCTCTGTCAGTGGCAGCAACGTCCTGAGGCTGGCCCTTTTCAAAGTAGCGGTGCCTCCAAAGACCCCTCCCAAGGGCAGTCAGCTGACCCCCAAGGGCCCTGCCAGGCGTGGCCAGCAGCTCCCAGGGGCCCTGCCCTGGGGCAGCATCGCCTGCAAGGGGCACTGGAAGGTGGGCTCAATGGAGGCCTGCCAGGCTGTAGCCTCCCAAGGGCCTCTTCCAGGGGCTCTTCAGGCCCAGGTCTCTCTCAGGGCAGCGGCGCCTCAGGGGCCCTCCCAAAAAGCGGCTGGGACCTTAGAGGCTACCGTGGCTGTAACAGGACTCTTCACGAACATGGGGTCCCGTGCCCTCCCAAGGGCGGCGGCGCCCCTGGGGAGCCCTCCCACGGTGGTGGGGCTCCCAGGGGAGCCCTCCCAGAGGCAGCAGCGATCCCAGGGGAGCCCCTAATGGGCCCTCTTGGGATCCTTGGCTAGCCCAGTTTGTGGTGTCAGTATGTGCGTGCGAACAGCAATCCTGCTTAACTGTGATTGGTGGACTAAATATTAAATCCACAGAAATAACGTAATAGGAGAACAAGAACAGTCCAGTCAGCATAACACAACTTATGTTTTTCCTGTTCGATATTTATTCTCCTTCACATTGTTCATGAGGAAGACCTTGCAAATGTTGTGGGCAGTGTATTTATTTAACGTCACTTATCTCCCATTGTTCTAAATGGTAGACCAACTGCCCCAGAGACATATAAGGTCAACTGCTCCTAGACTCCCATTTGCCCCTAACAGGTGCAGGCGCTGCAGAAATTCCCAGGGGCAACAGGCGCGCAGCCCTTCCAGGGGCAGTGGCCCCAAGGGCCCAACTTGGGGAACAGGGCCCTCTCAGGGCAGCAGCGGCCGTGTCCCTGTCAGGGGCTGTATGGTATCCTCAGGGCCTATTCAGTGGAGCCACAGCGTCACAGAGTCCTCCTAGGCGCGGCGGCGCCCATTAGAGGCCCTCCCAGGGGCAACCAGGGCCCCTGGAGCTCCTTTGGGGTGGAAGCTCTCCTGGACCCTCTCAGGGGCAGCGACGCCCCAAGGGCCCCTGGCATCAGGCTGCCAGCGTCTCAAGGGGCCCTATTGGGGCGATGGCGCCCAGGAGTCTTCAAGGGGCGTGGGCCGGCTCCCAAGGACCTCCCAGATGCTGAGGGCGGTACAGGGAGCCCTCACAAGGGTGGCGGCGTCTTTGGGACCCTACCGCGGAGGCTGGAGTCCTCACCAGGGGCAGCAATCCCAGGGACCCCTGCCGGGGCAGTGCCCCCCCCAGGGCCATCCACGGGTGGGGCGCCCCAAGTCCCCACCGACCCTGGCCGGCGAACCTGCAGGGACCTCCCAGAGGTGGTGGTGGCCCTGAGCCTTCAGGGGCGACTGCGCACCCAGGGGCCTTACAGGACAGCACCCCATGGGGCCTCTCTATGGTGGTAACGGCTCTGGGGTCCCTTTTCAAGACCAGCGATGCCTCCAAAGACCTCCAAGGGCAGTCGTGACCCCGGAGCCTGCCGTGTGGCGGCAACTCCAGGAGCCCTGCTGGGGCAGCATAACCCGCAGGGTCACTTCCGGGGAGTCAGTTGAGCCCCGGGGCCTGGGACTCTTAGCACTCAGGGGCCTCTTCCAGGGGCTGTCGCGGGGGCCCTGCCGGGCTGTAGCACTCGGGAGCTCCAGGGCTGTCCCTTTGGGGGCATTCTCCAGGGCAGTGGCCCTCAGGCATTCCTAAAATGGCCGGATCGCCGGGGCCTACCAGAATACTGACTTTGGGACCTCCAGGGGCTGTGGAGCCCCAGGGCCCTCCATGGTTGGCAGGGCTCCCAGAAGCACCAGGGCAGCAGCAGCGATCTGGGGGCCCTATTAGAAGCGGCCCCTGTAAAGTCAACACAGCTGCCCAATTTGGCGAGTGTGGTACATGTGCATACCACAGCAGTCATGCTTAACTCTGGGTGGTGGACTAAATGTAAGTCACCAAATAACGTAATGGGAGAACAGAGCAGTCAGTCAGCCTGCACCGCTTATGTTTTCCTGTTCGATATTTATTCTCCTTATTTGTTAGGGAAGATGATGCTGGAATGTTTGTGGGCAGTGTATTTATTTAACGTCATATCTCCCATTATTCGTGCAGAACCAACTGGGGGCCCTACAGGGTCAGCTTTCCTGGAGCCCTCCCATTTGCTCTAACAGGTGCGGCTCACTCGAGGGGCATTCCCAGGAGCAACAAGCGCACCGCGCGGCCCTTCCAGGGGCAGTGGCTTCAAGGGCCCAACTTGGGGGTGCCGCCGCTCCCGGGGCCCCTCTGGGGGAACAGCAGCGGCCACAGGTGTCCCTGTCAGGGCTGTATGGTATCCTGGGCCTCTTCCAGAGCTCTGGCGTCCGGGGCCCCTAGGGGCAACAGCGCCTGGGACCCTCCAAGGGCAGCGGGGCCCCTGGGGTCTCCTTGAGGGGTGGAGGCCTTTCCTGGACCCTCTGGGGCAGCGCTCTAGGGGTCTCCCATTTTCCCTACCAGGTGCGTCACTCCCAGTGGCATTTCCAGGATTGACAGCGCACCTGAGTAGCCTTCCTGGGCAGCCTTTAGAGGCCCAATGGTGGCAGAGACTCCAGGGATTCCCAGGCAACAGTACAGTGGCCCTCACAGGGGCAGCGGCGTTCCTTAGCCCAACTGGGGTGTTGGCGCTCCAGGGCCCCTGCCAGGATGTGGCGCCCCCAGAAGCCATCGAGGACCCTCCAGATGCTGAGGCGTTACTAGGGGTCCTCCCAAGGAAGCAGCGCCCTCAGGGCCCCAGAGTTTGAGACTCCAGCGCCTGCCAGGGTCAGTGGCGCCCAGGTGCCATTCAAAGAATGGCGGCACCCCAGGGGCCATCCACGGGTGGTGGTGCAACAGCCCACAGGGGTGGTGTGCCCCAAGGCCCTCCCGGTGTGGTGGCTCTTCAGGGGCCTCACAGGGGCGACAGCACACCAGGGAGCCCCTGGGCAACTCAGGGCCCTCTCTGTGGGTGGTAACGTCTCTGGGGCCCTCTCAATGGCGGCGGCTCTCCTGAAGAGGGCCTCCCAGGGGAACAGCAGTACACGCAATAAGCTCCTTCAATGGACTGCAGCACCTAGGGGTCGTCCTAGGTGTTGTAGTTAACCTAAGGACCTTCCATGGTCAGCTGCTTAAAGACCTTCCCAGAGTGGCTTAGGCGCCTTTCTGTGGCTGCGTTGTCCCTCCCAGGGCGGAGACGCTTTCAGGGTCCCTCCCAGGCGCTGGGGGCTCGGCCAGGGGCCCATCAAGGGCTGTGGCACCGCCAGCTCTCCTGTTGCGCAGTCGCCTGGGGGCCTCCATGGGCAACAGTGCATCTAGGGTCCTCCCAGCAGCGTGGCGTCTCCAGGGGCCTTCCTTGTGGGTGGCAGTGGCCCCAACGTCTGTGCTCAGGGCGAGTCACCCCTAAGGGAAAACCCACGGACAGTGGCGGCACCAGCAGCCCTTGGCAGAACAGCGCCGCCTCCCAGGGGACTACTCCCAGTGGTGGCAGGGATCCCAGGGACCATCCTGGGGTGCTGGTGCCCCAGAGCCCTGCACTTGCAGCAGCGCCTCCATGGGCCCTCCGTGGGCCGTCAGTGCCCCAAGAGCTCTCCCAGGGCGATGGTTTCTCAGTGGCCCTCCTAGGACGGCACGCAGGGGCTCTCGCAGGGCTGCAGCACCTCCAGGGGCCCTCCTAGGGGTGGTAGTACAGCCTCACAGGGGCTGTTGGGACCCAGAGGCCTGCCGTGCTGCAGTGCTTCCATGGGCCTTCTCGAGGGCTTTGGCACCTTCAGGGGCCCCTCCCAGGCGGCAGTGCCGTGAGGGGTTCTCCAGGGGTGGTCACCCCCCCAGGGACCTTCCAGGGAACGACAGCTACCAGTGTCTCCCAGCAGTGGCATCCCCTCAGGGGCCCTCTCAAGATCTGCGACCCCAGGGCCCCTCCCAAGGGCAGTAGCGCCCCTAGGGGCTCCGCCACCGTCGGCAGTGCCCAGGGGCTCTCCCAGGGTGGTGGTTTCCCCAGGATCCTCATGGTGGCAGTGGCTCCCATGGACCATTCGCAGGGCAGTAGCGCCCAAGGGTATCTCCCAGTGGTGGCAGCACAGAGATCTTCTCATGGTGGCGTCCCCAGATGCCCTCCAGGGGTGTGGTGCCCTGAGGACACTCCCAGTGATGATAGTGCCTCGAGGTCCTTCTGCACGTGGTGCCCAAGGGACCTTCCCAGGTCCGTAACGTCCCAGGGGAATATCCCAGGGACCCTCCCAGGGTCAGTAACGTCCGAGGGAATATCCAGGGGACCCTCCACAGGGTTGGCAGCCTCCTCCGGGGACTCTCTCGCAGTTGCAGCACCGCCAAGGGCCCTTCAAGGTGGTGGGCCCCAGGAACTCTCAAAGCCGATGGGGCCCCAGGGACCCTCTCAGGGCAGCTGGGCCCCAGAATCCCTCCACAGGCGATGGCGCCTCAGGGAGACCTCAGTGACCTCAGGTGCGGCGGGGTCCGAGAGACCCCCTCGTAATCGACCAAGGGGACTTTCCCAGGGGGAGGCGACCCCAAGGAACCTCCCAGGGTGCGGCGCGCCCCTCTCAGGGGCTCAGCTACTCAGGGGCCCTTCCATGGAGTTGGTACACCAGGGACCTTTCCGGCTGCGCAGCTTGAGCCCTCCCAATGATCTCTTTGGCGGGGACCTTCCCGGCAGCATGGGTACCAGCGTGTAGCGCATCCGTTCTCTCCCAGCGGTAGCAGCACCCAGGAATCTCGGGGCTGCAGCACTCCCCAGGGGCCTCGTTGCGGCGATGGTGCCCCAGGGACCCTTCAAGCGGCGACGACCCAGGGATTCTCCCAGGGCAGCACCCAAGACCCACCTGGGAGGGCCCTAGGGTGATGCAGCCGCTGCGGGGCTCCTAGGGGCCTACCGTCGCCCTGAGGCACCGTCGCCCCGGGGAGCCCCGTCTCGCATGGGATGCCCCTGTGGGCGGCGCCGTCCCTGGGGCGCCGCCAAGCCCCCTGTGAGGTCTCTGGGGCGAAGAACCTGTAGGGCCACTGGATTCAGTAGTTTTGCTCTATTTAGAACTCTGTGAAATCTAAATACCGCTCATCACATTTCCGGTATCATCGCATCCTGAAAGGTATGGAGAATAATATCAACAGGAAAACATAAGTTGTGGCATTGCGATGACTGGCTGCTCTCTTCTCCTACTGGCTGTAATTTGGTGAGTTAAAATAATCCCACCAATCAGTTTAGTTTAGGACTGCCCTGGGTGGTCCCTGGGGTCGACGCTTTTATGAGGGTCCTGGAAGGATCCTGGGTGCCGCCGCCCTGGGGTCACTGGTCACGTCTGGCACCGCCGCCTGGGAGGGTTCCCAGGGGTACCGCCATCCTTGAGAGGGAGTCCCAGGCGCCGCCACCCTGGAAAGGTCACTGGTGGCGCCTCCGCCTGGAAGGGGTCACTGGTGGCACCGCCGCCCTGGGAGGGTCGCTGGGGCGCCACCAGCCTGGGAGGTCCCTGGGAGCGCCACGAGACGGAAGGTCCCTGGAGGTGCCGCGTGTGAGGGTGGAGGCGTGCAGGGAGGAGTGTGAGGAGAGGTATGTGAGGAGGAGGCGTGCCAGGGGGCGTGTGAGTGAGGCGTGTGAAGGGACCGTGAGTGATGGAACAGGAAGAACACAAGACCATTATATAAACGTGACAAACACGCCCTCTATAAATGCCTCAGTCCTCCTGCACTTTTTTTTTATTTTTACATTTTATTTTTTTACTTCCTATTCTTTCTCAGTTCCTCTTCATTTTTTTTTAGTGACTATATTTTTATCTATTATTCTTATCATCATTATTCAACTTCTTCCTAACTTTATATTGTCTTTTAATTTGTTTCTTCTTTTGTTCTGTTATTTTCTAGTCTAATTTATTCTTGTAATTTTTTAAGTACGTTCAATATTTATCTCTGAAACTAACCTGAACATTAAAACAAACAAACAAATAACATCTCTCTCTCTCTCTCTCTCTCTCTCTCTCTCAAAGAGTGATTTCATGACTGTTCGTGTGGGCGATATACACGTTCATACACACGGACATAGACTACACACAAATATACACATATATACACATACGCACAGAGATACGATTATTAAAATGCACAAACACACACACACACACACACACACACACACACACACACACACACACACACACACACACACACACACACACATACACTTTCCCCACAAAACACACAATGGCCCGCAAATAACGCACATATCATTACATAACATTACGCTTTCATGCTGAGTACAGGAGGCACGAGTCACGGAGGCCACGGAATTAATACCGTCAGGAGGCCACGGAATTGTCGGTCACAGGGCCACCGAGTTATCCGGTCAAGAGAACGGATATCCGGCCATCAGGAACGGTTAGGCAACGGTGTGGGGAGCGAATGATGAGGA